CGCTCCCTCGCACGCGCACGGCCGGTAGGGATTTTTTCCTCTTTTACTTGCAATCAGACTCGCTTTCATTCACACTTACATGTATGCAAACAGGTGCGCAGCAAACTGGCGACAAGCGCCCACTCAGAACTCAGACATATGGCAACCAAGAACACAACTCAGATACAAGTTCACTACTATGGCTATGGCGACTCAGCGCCCATACAACTCTCTGTTCGCACACACAGGATCACCCTGGATATCCCACACGCGATACTCTGTACACACACACACTGAACTATATCTACAGCTATGGCAGCTATGGCCGCTGCTACCCTATCGCTATGGCTAAGCTCCTTCTCTCTCGCCCACTTCTTCCTCGGGCTCACTGCAGACCACCTGGCACAAGTCGCTGTGGCAGCGCTTCCACATGGCTCACGCAGGAATGAATGAATGAATGGACGCTGCCCTTTGATTTATACTTCTGTAGCTTGTTGGTCTGCCCTTTCCCTTGCCCGTGGTGCACACAGTCCCATGCGGTATTTGGTTGACTGGACTAGGACTGACTGGGACCTGTGCTGCTGACTGCATGGGTTTGCACTGCCAACTCGATTCAGTCGCACTGCCGACGTACTGCAGTTGGGCTCACCACTTGCCCACTTGCCCACTTGCCTCAGCCAAAACGTGAGCAACTTCGAAAGGTCACTACTAGGACCTTCCGGAAGTCTGGGTCCTGGCCTTTCGAAGACTGTAGCAGCTACGAACTTGACCCTTCAGGACTGTAGCAGCTACGACTTCTAGAACTCCCTAAGACTTCTACTCGACAGGTCTACAGATCGAACCCCTGCTACCTACGGACCCTACGACAGTCTACCAACTGTTACAAATACACAGGTCACGGGTTCAACTCTGGGGGTCGACACAGATACTGTACACATGTAAGGTGAGGACTAGGGATCGAACCCTGGGATCTGCATCGGCTAATGCGAACTGGTGAATACCGTTTCATACTGCAGTAGACTCTTTAATAAACAAAAATGGTTTCGCTCACAAAGCTGAATGCATATGTCGATCATTGTCGCTGTGACCTGGTAGGCGTGATGTTTCAGGCTCAGCAGGCCAGGGTTGGTTGTGTTATTCAGAATCGAATCATTCAGCAAAATAGGGTTACGCACAAGGCCACTTAGCTCGCCTGGCAGTTCAACCTGGGCAAGTCGCACGGGGTTCACCTGCGCAACACAACCCCATGCAGGCAAAAATCATCCCTTCTTTTTTCCTTTTGTTTTTGGGACGAGTTTTTCTGAGCATGACCAGAACAGCCCAGATCCGGGCTCCTTTCAATTTTCGAGTGTTGGCTGTCAAGAGCGGGGAAGGGGGGTATAAATTGTTTTTTAAGGGGCTAAAGGGGTTTAAAGTGGGGTGCCTTCGTCTGATTCCGTTGTTTTCTTTTTTATCTGAGATTCCCTGAGGAATTCTGATGTGACCCTCAGCCAAAGTTGTTTGTATCGTAATTCTACACAGCATTTTTTTTTGGGATTTTTTTTTTCCTTTCTTTTTTGGGGAGCCGGGGCTGCCCAAAACCCTGCCCGAGGTTCATGCCCGGCCGCGCACCCAGGCGTGTATGCGGGCACAAGTTGGGAGCCCGGGCCCCCGGATAAACAGCCTAGGCTCTGCAGTACTGGTGATTTAAGTTCCCACACACTTTTTGGAAGGGCTCCACTCACAGGCATGCGGATAATAACCATAACTAGCTTATCGCCTGCGGTGCGGGCAATGCAGGCAATGCCCGCACAAAAAGAAAAAGAACATGTCTCGCCGCAACAGCTGCTGTGAGAAAACCCATGCCGACCGGCGAGGACAACTTCTATAATCCGATGGCCTTGTTTCCTTTCCATCCACGCCCGTCCTTGCCCTCTCCAATCTATCCTGCACCCTCCTTCGTCGGCGCGCAATGAACAGTTCGGTGGAAAACACCTCTCTGCACGGGCTCGGACATCGATAGTCCTCATCCAAGGGCCTTGGCTAAAACTTCCACCCTCATTTGGGGCGCAGCTTGCCACTCAATGTCGCCCGCGGCCTACGCTGAATAAGGGTTAGAGTATCTCAGACTCGCAGATACTGACCATAATATTTCTGACTTGTCTAGGTTTCTGGATATGTGGGTGCAGGGGGTTTATGGACATGCAGATGCCAAGGCCCGAACCCCTGTCTGGATGGCCTGGGCCGCACGGACTGATAGGTAGCCTACCTTCAACAGCGATCACAGAATGTCAATAAGACATGCCATTATTATCATTATTATTATTATTATTATAATTATTATTTATTTATTTATTTTTAAGAAGAGCAAAGCATGGAAACATCTTATTAAAAAAAAAAAAAAAAACACATGCCATTATCCAAAGTCTTCATTGTTAAACCAGGGTTATTAAGCAAGCCCTCAGCATTACTGTATTGATTGCTCACCTCGCAATTGGTAATGTTCAACCGCATCAAGCCAATGATGCTTGCAGGATCCAGGTTCAGTAGCCGAATGATAAGGCTTTTAAGACAAGGAGAACGCCCAGCAGAGCCACCACCCAATTTGTCTGCAGCTTGCACAAGGGGTTTTGCACAGTTTGCGCAAGGCCTGAGGAAGTCACGACAAACAGCTGTTGGTGGCAACAGCCCACTTTCATCAAGTTGCTTATCAATGTCGTCCGGGGATGCAGTGCAGTGCATTGCCGTTTCATCAAGCCAATTCCACTGGGCCTGGTAGTACTCTGGGCATATTGCCAAAAGATTAACTGGTTTTGACCTCCCAAATAACAACACGCCAACATAACTGTGACATGATTCTTCAAGAGTGATATTCATTGAAGTCTCATTGCGGTCCAAAACAATGCGCGAAGCTGACAATGGATGCCTCTGTGCTCCATTTCTGTCAATGTTGAAGAGAGCTTCACAACAGTTTTTAGCCTTTTGACCAGCCCGGCAGGATAAGTTGGCCCTCTCCAGGTTGACATCCTCAAACGAGACTGGGCAATCTGCATGAATGATTAACAAGGACATCAAACCAGTTACAAAATCAGAAAAGGTCACACTTGCGGTTACTGTAAACAAGACCATGGGCCTAGTGGCACTTCTCATCAAATGTGCAAACTACTGAGTGTGCCTTTAGCAAGACTGTGGATGGATACGCTAGCCACTCTTTTCTTCTTTGTGACTCGAGTGGTGCAGTGAGGCCCCATGTCATAACGAACTAGGCAAAAAACCATCACCCATACACATTCCACCGCCCTCCTTAGAAACCGCAGGCCATGTACGCACCACAAAATAAAAGGCTTAGCCTACACGACCCCACGTCCGTACTGGGATGATGTACAAAATTCGAAGTACCCTAACGTCGCGGATCTTTAATTCTCATTTCCATCAACAAAAACTTTCAAAAACAATCACAGATGTAGGAAACAGTCCGCCGAATCAGACTGGGAAAAAAATACAAATAACTTTAATAAATTAATAAGTGCAATCAGACTCGACTTCTTTCTTGTTCGGCATGCATGAAAACTTACAGCAACTCGCACTGGCGCCACTCGCCCACACAAAGCTCAGAGATATCAAGGCCGAAAACTTAGTTCAGATTCAAACTCATTTCAGATGGCCATGGCGCCTGAGCGCCCTCACATGCACGCTATTCTGGATCACCCTGGATATCCCACACACGCACAGAACTCACTGCACACTCACTCGCATACACGCTGTAGACTACCTCTAACCTATAGCAGCTATGGCTGCGCTCTACCTCTACCACCAACTAGCGGCTATGGCCGCTACGTCTTCCTCTCAGCCAACTTCTTGCCCGGGCACTCGCAGACCCCCTTGCACAAGTCGCTCAGGGAGCGCTTCCGGCGGATCACTCTGAATGAATGAATAACTGGACGCTGCCTCTTGATTTATACTTCAGTTGGTCGCTGGTCTGCTCCTTTCCTTCGGGCCTAGGATGTACACAGTCCCACGTGGTACTTGCTGACTGGACAAGGTGCGAATGGGACTGGTACCGCTGACTAGACCTGGTAAGCCTGCCCACTTGCCCACTTGCATACGGCTCACGGTCTGAATGAATGAATAACTGGACGCTGCCTCTTGATTTATACTTCAGTTGGTCGCGGTCTGCTCCTTTCCTTCAGGCCTAGGATGCACACAGTCCCATGTGGTACTTGCTGACTGGACAAGGTGCGACTGGGACTGGTACCGCAGACTAGACCTGGTAAGTCTGCCCACTTGCCCACTTGCCTACGGACTGCTTCTGAGACTCTCGAAGGGGCAGTCCTAGAAGACTCCAGACCTTCCTACTTGCCCTTTCGGTACTGTTGCAGCTACGACTAAGGTTGACCCTTCAGATCTACAGCAGCTACGACCAGACATAAGCTACGACTCCTACCCTACAGGTAAGCATCTCAAATCTACTCCACCCTCGTATCTACAACGGCCTTAGACAAACAACTCTAGGGGCAGGTCACGGGTTCGAACATTGATGGGGAAAAGTGCACTGTACACGGGTTCAGGGCAGGTCTAGGGATCGAGCCCTGGGATCTACATCCGCTACTGCAAAGGAGAAAACCGTTTCACAAGTTGAAAAACAACAAAAATGTTTTCATGAACTTTTCGCCCATGAAAATGTATGTGCGCCAAAGGCAATGTGCATGGCAATCAGAGTCACAGTGACCCGGTAGGCGTGACGTTTCAGGCTGGGTAGGCCAGGACCAGCAAATGACGATTTTGGGATTGCCAAGAGTCACAGGCTGCCATTGAATTGTCACCTTCTTCGCCTGTCTTCTCTTGTCTTGTCCCTTCTTCCTACCCTCAGCATCATTCGATTTGACCCAGTGAGTGAGCTGCACAAGGAGGGATCTTTCGTCCATGTGTGCCTCCCTCCTTGCTTTTCAACATGATGGTGGGTGTGTGGTTGGAGTCCTGAGATTGACGACTCAGATTACTTATTTTCAGTCTTCTGCCACATTGCATTTTTCATTCTACTGACTTTGAAGATTCTTGGCCTTCAGTCATGCCATAGAGAGATTGTTAACAATGGACACCTGTAGGTAAGCAACTTGGCCATTGGGTGCTGGGCAGTGGGCGCCAACGACAGTAGCACGCTACCAGTAGGCGAGAGTAGGGGGTCGGCATGCATGCAACTTCTAACGTTGCAGCAGACCACTGGTCAGATTGCTGTGTGGACGCTTGTCAACATTGCGTTGTGTTGGGACCAAGACCTACCTGGTATCCCAGTAGGTTTACAGATGTACAGGGCTGATTCGGACCTTTCACCGAACAACCGCCAAGAAACGGCCGATCACAAAATCTTAAGATCGGGAGCATTTGAGAGGATTCAAATATGCTTTATGCATATGGCAAGGGAGGCGTTAGGGATACTGGAAGGTGCTTTATGGTTGTGAAGAGGAGATGGACTGTTAAGCAGGGTAATACATGCTCAATCGAGCGATGTATATGGAGCCAAGGATCCGCAAAGTGATGAAAAGGACTCAAATGGACAATGCAGTGTCAGCAAAGCACCAACAAGCAATGTACATCCAGATACATAAGAAAATAGCATAATGTAGCGCAACGGAAGACTCTAAGATATGACCTGACCCGTCAGATACTGACGCAACGCCCCATCATACACCACACATGTGTGAGTGAGAGGAGGGACCGCGTACATGGAAGAAAGGTCCCTCCTTGAAGGTCCCTCCTTGAGCACGCACATGGGGAGATACCACAGATGAGGATATGGAGGAGAGGCGAGACGAAGATGGAGATGAGGGAGAGGACCAAGATCGTGATAGAGAAGTCCAAAAATAGTCTCTCTGCCGAATGTCCAATCAATGTCGCCACAAAATGTCGAATCAGATCCTGGGCCTCATGGTGTTGGGGGGCGGTTTGGGGGTGTTGGAGGGGGTATGGGGGTATTTGGGGTGGGTACGGGGGTGTTGATTGGGTTATTAGGGGTTCTGGACCCAAATATATATATCTATATATATATCGTATATATATATATTGTCACATCACTACAAACTAAAAGAGCGCACTTTGCGGAACAAAGAATAAAAGCAAAAAACGGGCACAGTGATAACATGCAAAAATAAAAACAAAAAGAAAAAACAAGGGCAGATTGACCCCATTAAATTTCTCATTCTTCTTTGAACTCCACCTCCACTGTGCCTCTCACGTGCAAGGCTCGCCACGTTGATGAAGTTGAGCGCGAGCTGCCCCCATCCCCGTATGCCATAACAGCCCACTTGCAC